CAACAAAATATACAAGATAATTTTCTTTATCGATGGGCTGAGATTTTGAACAAATCAAAAAAGAATACACAAAAACGTAGTTGGCTAACAAAATGAATTCAGAAAAACAATATGAGTGTTGGTAAAGCGAAGACAAACACCTTTATTAAATGCCAAACCTCAGCACTGAGTATGCAGACTTCCTTTGTGATCAGATTTGAATAGATGCTTGAGACACTTGTCTAAAGCAGTTATACTGTCTTTAGAAGGGACATCCTTCTAAAGACATGTCGTGGTGATTTAAGCCTTGATTTCTTCCTTACACTTTTTACAACCACCCACAGTGTGACTGCAAAATGTGCCACTGCATTAGGATGAGAAGCTTGTTGCTGTTTAGGCATCAGTGTGCCAGCTTTTTATTTACACATTCATGTCGAGTGTTAGTGTTTCAAAAACACTAACACTGATTTTTAAAGAATAATAGAAATGTACACTTTATTGTAAATTACTTTAACAGCTGGTATACAGATGGAAACGGTGAGTATTTTATTACCTTGTAAGGTCAGTCAGGAAGCTGACTGACAATAACTTATAAATTCAGGTTTAAGGTATTGTTGCAGAATTATTGACCAGGATTCCTATTTATGCTGAATTTCAAAACTCCCAACTATTCCACACTCAAATTTCCAGCTACCAGGCCCATAGTCAAAATTTAAAGTATAAATATCAAGGTTTCTTATTAACTGGATGGATGGATGGATGGATGGATGGATGGATGGATGGATGGATGGATGGATGGATGGATGGATGGATGGATGGATGGATGGATGGATGGATGGATGGATGGATGGATGGATGGATATAACAGAGCAAGTCTAAAAATTCTAATATTTTCCATATATTTCTTGTTTATTATTATTTTTCTTCACTTGTTTAGATCCAAAATAATTACATATTTTTTCAGATTACCTGGGAACTCTGAAGAGAACAATTTCCCTAAAATAGCTACATGTAGAAGAAGAAAAAAATACATGTAATTTATTACATGTAAACAAACCAAAATTATCCAGTAGGTCCTGCTTGACACTTTTATTTAAAGCGCCTGATTGCTGACACTCAAAATTGCAGCATAACATTGGCAGTCTGGCACCACATCCACACAGGTGGGGTGGGGCTGTAATAAACAAGAGTCAACATCCTGCTGACATCAAAGAGGCTGCACTATTTCAGCACTCACTCATGCTGCCCCTTCAAACTGTTTTTTGCTCCCTGCATTTTTACATGAGCTAAACCTGTGGATGAAAGCTTTAATGACTCCGCACTGAGCAGAGAAACACCTCCTGAGCTCCATCGTATGTGCGTCTGGTGCCAATGTGAAAAGTATCAGTAATAATGTAGTGAACCAGTCTATAGAGGTTAAACTGGATTCAAAAACAATAATTTAGTTGTACAAAATTGCTTGATTTACATGAAATACAATATATTTTTATAGTCCCAGACAGCACACTGTTTCTCCACAGGAAATTGAAATTCTTGTTTATTTGAGTCTATTTATCAAGCAATTTCTTATTTTCTGCTCATGTCTTTGATATTTGCTCTGGTTACCACAGCCACATGAAATATTTGCTCTGTGCCACAATGCTCTTGTCGAGCTCCCCCACACAGTTTACACGCTCCCATCAGCTCAACAGATTAAATTTAGAGCATCAGAGAAAAACAAAGATATATATATATCCTGTTTTGGTTTATATTTTGAAAGCCAGAGATGAAGCTGCATCCTCCTGGATGTTAAACTCATCTATTTGTCTGACAGCAGTCTGACTTCCTTTTATTGTTGCGCAAAGATGGACCTAGAAAAACAAACTCTGCATCCTTTATGCACTTTCTCTAACAGTGAGGTGCACAGCATAACTACAGCTGTGGGAGTCTGGATATATACTGAAAAACTTGAACGAGCACAAATTATGCACACATGCCAAAGAATTGGCACTCTGTCCGATGCAGTTTTGATAAGGACCTAAAGTCATTTCTTGTAAACTCAGTTCAACTGAGTCATTCAATTTAGTTTATCTATGCAGCCATGGTTCACAACTAATGGTTCCTCAAGACAGTTTGCAAAACAAACTGATATAATTTATTTGCATAAATGTATTGTCAAATCAAGCCAACCATGCAGGCAGCTTATTCCCATTCAGACTCACCCTCCTTTATGCTGAAAACCTCGTTTTTGACATTTTCCAGGGCCGTGGACAGGGACCAGACGTGCAGCGCAAAGCCCAAAAAGACCAAGTTCCTCCGGCGGCTCCAGAGTCTCATCACGCCCGGTGCTCGGATGAAAAAGAAAAAAAAAATCTTCCGATCAGATAGCTACAGTTTTATCAGTCCAGCGCCTCCAGGCTCTACACGCAATTTTGCTTGATTTAGAATCGGGTTGAAGCAGCTCACAGTAGTTTAAGAGGGAGAAATACAAAAAAAGACTTTAACGACATGCAGAAACTTTTCCTTAAAGCAAGTAACATGTTTCAAGCTACAAGGTGGGAAAAACATATAAATAAACCTGCAAGATTTTTTTTTCTTTTGGCGTGTTAGTTTCTCTTTTAAAGGATTGAGTTAGAAAGAGGCAGAAAATGAAGATCGGCAGAAAGAGAGGATGTAGGAGCAGAGGACTCGCCGGAGCAGCAACACCGTGCCATGTGCGCTTTGGAGTCTGCCGGGTCCAAAAGCCTGATAAGTTAATGACGCCCCCCGGTGCTGCCCGAAAAATAGGTGCAACCCTTTTCCCAGGCAACCCTGTTTATTGTGCATGCCACTAATCATTAATGCAATTGTTTTGGGTTCCAAAGCAACAAAACAATTGCATTAGAAGAATTTCCGATGCTGTGCTTGTGCATTGTTCTGGTTTGAATCAGCAATTATTGTTTATATGTGGTAAATTTTAAACCATTCTTTGGTATAGTATAGTGGGTAAACACAGGACGACTGTATAAGATCACTGAAAAAGAATTTTAATATATTAAGAAAATAAAACATATTAACTAATTCAACCAATGCATTTTTTCCCCCAGTTTGTCACAGAAGCTTTGTTTTATAAAATTCGCTTTTGGAACAGAAGTTACAAGACTTGCATATTCAGACTGTTTATGATCAGTGAGAATATAGTACAATGGACTGACTGAAGTCATGTGGTTTAGAGAAACAAAAATTCTGACCTGAATCTGTGGCTGTCACTGGACATTGAGCTAAACTCCTAATTAAATAGATCACAGAGACACAAAACACATTTTTTCTCTGTATATAAATATGAATGGAAGCTCAATAGAGGACTAATACAGCAAGAGTATTTATTATATTGTTTTGTTGTTGTTGTTGTTTACATATAAACTAACAAGAAAATTCACTTTCTGATCCGATTTATGTTGTTGCTTTTTTTTTACTGTGCTTTTAAGTCAAAACTGCCTTAAACATGGCTGACTTGTACACAAGCTGCCTCATTCTAGTTTATGAAACACATCCTCAAGCAGAAGAATAAATAAAATCTTAAACAGCTTTGAATATGATAATAGTTTTATATAGGGTTGATCCTGATGCACTTTTGAAGATATATTAAGATTACTATAATGAAATCAATCCATGCTCATTGATGTATTACACATTTGGCTGTTTCTGCAGTGAAGCATTTTTCACCTGAACTCTGAGATACTGCTGAAGTTCCTCAGAAACATAAACTTCCTTATATTTATGTTAACTATGCTATTAAAATATTTTTAGAATCACTGACTGTAGGGTATTAATAACAATGTCAATCAGCCTTTATTATGAGTTTTTAGAGGATTTTCTTCCCTTTCATTTCTCTTTTCTTGCTTTCCTATTTCTCTGCATCTCTCCTCATTCCCCAACACACACACCACACGCACACGCCAGCTTTACCCAGGTCCCATCTGTGTCCTGTGGTTGCTACTTATAATGGTCCACCCTAATCTTTCTTACTTTGTGCACTGCAGGCATAAAGGCCACAGATGTCTCTGTGGATCCTATATCTCAGTCAGATTGGATATTTTCTGTGGACATCGTTTTCCAAGTCTCTCTCCAAAGACTCTCAATCGTATTTGGGTTTGTACTTTGACAGGACCATCCTAACACACACGTTATTTGGTCCAAGCCAGCTTGAATGTAGCTCTGGGTGTTTATCCTCGTGGAATAATAATATTAATTCATCAGTTCTGACCAGATTCTCAAAAGAAAACATACCCACAGGCATATACTGCCATCACCATGTTTTACCATGGAAAGTCTGTCTAAGGTGATGTGCAGTGTTGGTTTTTCATCTGATGCAACATTTGACCAAAATGTTTTTTCTGTCTCTCCCTTACATCCTTTATCTTGTTGCAATTTTTAAACTGTTATATTGGCTCTAGTGGCCTTTATTTGAGAGTGGTCAGGCAGGAAATCAGGACTCAAACCTATGATGGTCATGTCAATCACTAAGGTCTCCACACATGGCTTACGCTTTACCCCTGCACCACCTCAGCAACCCAGCTTGAGGCAAATTTTAAATAAACTTTTTATTCACCAACGACTTTCTTTGAATGTATTATTTACTTCTAGAGTCACAAATAAAAAGAAAGCCAAGACTCAATGTTTGGATGAAGTCTGTGCCAATCTTATCTTATAAGTTTTCTTCTTAAAAGCCACCGCAGTGCGATAACCTGAGGGAAGTTGAGTCATTCTAGCTTGTGGGGGGACCAAGGAGCACAGTCCACATTATGCAGAGACAGTACCGTGACATCCAGACACATGATTCCTCAGAGAGAGGGAAGCTGACTGACAAGAGCCTGTCTTCTCAGATATAGCTCTTGTCAGTCAGTGTTCAGCATCTGAAACCTGCCTACATGGCAGCACAAAAATTGCTAACCCAATGTGGAGCTATCCCAAACAGATTTCTTGGTTACACTGGAAGGAGAAACTTTGCTATTGCCAAGAGATGGAAATCAAAAACCTTACAACAAACCAGACAGTTTTTTAATATCACAGATTTATTTACTGTTTACAATTCTGTTTTTAAATGCAGTTTTTGAGGTTCACAAAATGTTTGTCACCACACCTTTGATATTTATGATGTGTTTGTTTTAACTCTCTCTTTTTAAAATGCTGTCACCCTCACAGACCATAAACTGATCAAACTCCCAAATTGGACTTTAGGACCATCCTCTCCTAGAACTCTTTGGTTTGGAGCTCTGTGACATAAGTCCTTTATCTTCACATGTCTTGTGTGTCAATGAGTTTGATTAGCTTGAAATTCCATCGTTCCAGATTGGTGGTCACAGAGGTCTTGAGACAGACATGAAGCCAATGATGAAACATGGTCTGGCTCCCTCATTTTAAGGACAAAGCTGTCCCTCTGACAAAGTCAGGTGGCTCAGGTCAAAACTAACTTTTAACCGCAGTAGTTCTATTGTTTCTTCTTACGTTTGCACAACTCTGAAGAGCATAATGTTGATGAATACTCAGTTTTAAACATTGGTTGACTTATTTGTAGATTATTTTATTAGCAATTTGTCGTTCACATTTGAAAGGTTAAGGTAACATGCTTCATTTAAACCTTTAACTGGCTTTAATAGTTCATTCTGTGAAAGTTGTTGACACAAAACGATGCCAGAAAATGTATACTTTACCTTGAATAAATGGTTTTACTACATCAGAGTGTAAATGCAATGATTTAACGCTAAAATGCATAACATGATCCAAACGCTTTTATGCAAAACAAAAACGCAACAATTGCTCCTGATTGTGCTAAAATAAAAGAATATATAAATAGATTCTTATAAGGATTATTTAAAGGGATTTTAAATTTTGATAGAAAGACTAATGTAAAAATGTTCAATCAACTTTCCTCATTTAGTAACAGTTCTCAAATAAACACTTCCTAACTCTTTCTGCTCTAAAATGGACCTGACTAGTCCCATAAGTATAACAACTTAGTATTTGATCGGTATTCAGTCACACTATCTGTAGTCAGCTGCTTATCAGACATGCCACTCATGTTTCGTCATCTCTATGTTCACTTTAGTGATAGAGATAGACAGCACAGCTTTAATTTATACACCATGACAATTTAAATTCTTCTTTCTAAGATTTTTATGGTTTTGAATCTGAAACATTTTCAAACCTGGAAAACGAGTCCCCACCTAACAGTTACAAGAGATTTTGAGAACATTGCAAACAAAATCGAGTTTTACTGTTTGCAACAATGTAAAGAGCTAACAAACACTGAACATTCAATAGACACCACCCAAGAATGGAATGCATACATATGTAGTCAGTATTTTAAAATGAAGGTGGCGCCTGATGGGGTTCAGTTCATCTTTGCAGAATCTGGTCCAGAACTCTCTGGAAGACAATAAAAACACACATTATTGGTTGATCTCTTCAGTTGGCTGATCAAAACCCATTTATCAGCACTCAGTTCTTTCCTCTCCTGGTCTGTTAGCAGCAGCTCAGCATCAGACCGCAGCAGCTACCACCGCTAAATTGGCTTTCACACCCATCAGCTTCACCCCCGAGGTGCCCAAGCCTGTGGGTAAGGGGAATAAGTCTGGCCAGCTATCTGACTTCTCTGCAATCATACTCCTACAAATGTACTACCCAGCAGCTGGAATCTCATTTCAGACAGCATTCAACACCACCCACCCTTCACCTTGTGCTATCAGACCCTTGCTGTGAGTCTTTGCTGGGCTTCCCCCTCAGCACGGGATAAAAATGAGGTCTCCAAATCACACAGCGTTTCTTCAGGAGGAACTCATTCCTTTTCTCCTGATCTCTGTGGTGGAGCCCAGCTAATGGCTTCATTTGAGAGGTGGAGAGGTCACACTTACATCATAACTGCAAAAACTTTTTTTTTTTCACCAAGAAATGAGCTATTCTTCAGCAGAGCCCAGCAGAGTTTTGCTTCTTGGCCGTGCTGGAGAAGCAAAACCCAAGGTTACTGTTGATTTAACACTTTCTCTAAAAATAAAGATCTTTAAAGCAGGTTTCAGAGTTAAACACTATACTTATATCAGTCACAGACATAGCTATGAAATTCAGGGGAAAATGAAACACTTTTACATTTAATTTTGTGCTACTTAAATACTCAGAGATTTGAGACATCTCTTTACATTTCTTGCTTCTTTTCTGGTTGACAGCAAACTCATTGTTCAAGTTATAATAGGAAAGAAGGTGAACAGGAGAGAATCTGACTGACACTGCACGTCCTAAATACATCACTCATTCCCCAAATGCCTCTATCTGTCTTAAAAGGCAGAAAGATAGGCTTAAAATACTTTCTATATGCATATTGCTTAGTACCAACTACTTCTTATTCTGAAACTTAATACTACAATTGTTTGTAGTTCTTATACCGGGAAAACAAACAGACTTTGCTGGTCATGTTCTGATATTCATCTTCCAACACAACTTACAGATTGCATATCAAAAAAAGTGAAGATTTTGAATTTATGACGTATGTTTCAGTTCAGACATAGACCGAGGCACAAGGCTTGAACAGTTCAACACTGACCTCTGCTGGACAAAATAAAAAATACATAATATCAGAAATGTAGTTTATAATCGTTCTGTCTGTCTGTCTGTCTTCAAACCTCCTCTGACAAAGTCGTACTTATCATGGAACCATAAAAAATAAATATTTAAGAGCTTAACATTGATAGACATTAATGCCTCTGGAACACATAGACTTTATACTGTAGCTGCTGTAACAACGTGGACATAAAATATGCACCACTTCAGTTTCAATGACATGTAATGAATTTCAAAAGCGAGTACTTGTTTGCTACTCCTGTCCTTTAAGATTAAAATCAATAGCCATACTAATACCAGTATCATGTAATCAGATTATAAATTACACCAATAATAGCAGATATGCTACACACATAGTGTAGCCTCAGAATGAAGAAGTATCTGTTTTTGACATGGCCCCCAATTAAAATCTGATTCGGGCCCAATAATCCCTGATAAGGATCTATAATAAACTCAAACTTGTTTAAAATTCATCTCCTGTTTTGAAAACACACTGAAATAGTTTGTGGTATCATCTCTCTACTCTGGAAGTGGAAAAGTTGTAGAAAGTTATTTTGAAGAAAAACTCTCGTTTTGCTTCAAAATAACAAAAGGGCCGATAAAGACGGCCGATAAAGACCCACGCACGTGATGAGTAGGTCAGCTGCTTATGCTACAGTAATAAATAATAGACCCCCCTGTCTGATCAATTTGATGTGCTTGTAATCCAGCATCCTGTCAGAGTATTACATTGATCCCATTTACCTTTTTGAAGACCTCTGCTCGCAGTCTATTGGTTTGAGATATAGCCCTCTTTTTTTCCTCCTCCTTTTTCTTTGTCACCTCCGGCAACTTGTTGTAAATCCTTAAAAAAAAAAAAAAATTAAAAAAATCATACAGGGCAGAGGAAAATATTATCAGAAATCTAAGGGTGACTGAGCCTTGCCAACACACTGGCATTCTGGAGACAAAGTTTTATCAAGACTACAGTCTGGTAAAAAAACAAACAAACAAAAAAAAAACAACACCTGGATTCACTGATAAACACTGTGCAAACACACACTCCCTTTTATCACGTGCAGAACTACTGCCAATTTTTTTTTTTTCAGGAGATCCACCTACTGAGATAGTGTTTCTTTTGAAAAAAAAAAAAAGAAAAAAAAAAAAACAATTACAATGGGAAACCTTCAACAGATCAGGCATGTTTTACCAGATAAGCAGAGAGAGAGAGAGAGAGAGAGAGAGAGAGAGAGAGAGAGAGAGAGAGAAAGAGATAAGATGTAGAGGTTACCCCATATCTTCTGCCAAGACATTTGAGCATCAAATTTGTTGGGTGTCAACAGCATGTGGATGTGTGTGTGTGTGTGTGTGTGTGTGTGTGTGTGTGTGTGTGTGTGTGTGTGTGTGTGTGTGTGTGTGTGTGTGCGTATTGTGTACAGAAGGGAAACTCGATGGACTCGACTGCACTATGAAAACGAGAAAGAAAACCCACACAACTCTCTTTGAGAGGGGGTGAGTTTAGAGGACTCACCGTCTGGACCTGAGCTGCATCTCTCTGCCTGATATAGAGCGCTCTCTCGGCTTGAAAAGGTTATCTAGGACACACACATCCACAGCCCAACAAACACACAGGAATAACAAACAGGAATTAATATGGAAATCAAGCTTGCATATGTAAATACACACTGATGGATGAGCTTTCTATTCTAGACTGTAATGCTGTCCTCCATTAGTCCACTGACACAAAAAAACACACAAAACTCTGTCTCTCACACACACAAAGGCGCACGCACACACACCATAACTTTTTTGTATTGGCAGATCCAGTTTTGGTCCTGTTGATTCTGTCAGACTGAAAGTGAAGTGAAAAGCATCAAGGTGTAATTGGACCATAAGCTTTAATTTCTCCTTCATGACACATAAAAAACAATGAGGTTAATGTTCCCTGTTTCTGCTTTTCCAGGGTCGGATAAACAGAAAGAGATGGATGGATGGATGGATGGATGGATGGATGGATGGATGGATGGATGGATGGATGGATGGATGGATGGATGGATGGATGGATGGATGGATGGATGGACGGATGGAAGGAGGGTGAGCTAATTTTAATTAGTCGATCAAAATGATCAAAATGCAATAAAAATCTGAAGAACAAGCCAAAGTAAACGATAGGAGTTTTGGCTAATTTTTCAAGAGTAAAAAAATATGAAACAAAACAAAACAAAATTTTAAGTTATATTTTACTAGTTGTATTGTTTTCTTTTTGTAGGGTATAATTTAATTTTTTTTCTTTATTCAGTTCAAATTTTTAAATATCTGGTCAACCTAAATTTATTAGATACTGTAACTTCTCTGTAGTACTCAATGATGGCCACCAGAGAGCAAAGTCAGTGAAATTATGCTCCACTCACAAGGGAATCATATGTGCTATTCCCTTTTTTACAAGAAAGCCTGCTGAGACAATGAAATTAAACATGATTACTAAATAAATAGTGTATCGTTCCACCAATCGGTAAAATAAATGCCGTGACATTTTCACAGGTTTATTATTAATTTGTTACTGTTTCTGTTTTTCTCCAGACATGCACCGGCTGAATTCCCAGCAGTCAGGAAATTTGACAAATGTGCCCGTGTCTGCAAAAGTGATGTAACATGATAAAAGATGAATGTAGGAGAGGAAAAGAAAGCATCTGCTCTGAATATGCTGTATATCAATTTTCTGTCTGTCGTCACCAGGACTGATGTGTCACATGTACTTCTTTATTGCAGAAAGTCCTGGGATAACTTGTCATATGATCAAGAGCTGATTGAATGCTTCTGTCAACAGTGGTGATCTGGCAAAAACTGAAACTGTTTACTAGTGGGTGTTACACATTGCATAATTTCCTAATGACTTATTTCTGCTTTTTCTGGTCCCAGTGATTTTACTGTACTTACCACTGAGTGGATCGGGTGTTGTGCAGTGTCTCTTTTGCTTGCCTTGATCTCCTGTTAGGCCAAGGGCTAAATTTGAGTCCTGCAGAGCTTTCCTTCTCCTGGCCTTCTGCTCTAACATCCTGACTCGACCCTGAGACCGGCTGATGAAGTCTGGTCTAAAATGTTCTAATGCCTCCTGAAAAGGAAAACACCCCTCAAATTATGAATTATTCTCTTTGCAGATGGAATGTCTGGTAACACTTTATTTGAAGGAGTGTGAATAAAACTGATATGACACTGTCATATACATGACATAACACCTTTTATGAACATGAAGACGCACTTATGACTGTTTATGACTGTTGTCATGAAGTGTCATTTGGTAAATAATGACACTTTCAATGCAAAGTTGCTTTAAACTTTGCATTAAATGTCAATTAACAGTGCCATCTGTGCATTAAAGTGTCACTATTTACCAAATGATGTGAAGTTGACACTTTTAATAGACTTTTAGTGCAACTTTTAAAGCAACTTAGTACTTTTTCAAAAATCTACAGTTGAAAACATGGAGATATGTAAGATTTTTTAAGGCCTGGAATTGACATGATTAAAATTTTTGCTACTTTCGTCTCTTGGTAAAATATCAGTTAATTAGTGTAACAGATTGAATGAGAGCATGACACAGTTTTAACCATGGGTGCTGGGGGTGCTGTGGTGGTGAAGGGGTTAATCACAATCCACATGAGGAGGCCTTAATCATCCACAGGGCCGTCTCAGGTTCGATTCCTGGTCTGGTGACCTTTGCTGCATGTCTCACTTGTCTCTCAGTACCCTATTATCCTGTCTGGATACTTTCAAATAAACGGCCAAACAAAAACTTAAAGAAACAAACAGACAAACAAAAAACAAACAAACAAACAACAACAACAACAAAAAAAAAACTGATGCCATGTGTTTGGTGTCCATATTTTAAAATGACACATTATTCAGAAAAAGGGCATAAAATGTGCTTCCTTCATGAAATTCTCCTGTTGATAAGCGAATAATTTTAACAAATTCTCACAGTTCCAGTTTTCTACCCCATTAGAATGCTGAATGTTCTTGCTCACCTTTCTTGAGAAAGGTATTTGGTAGTTTGCTACTTTAAAAGAGAACTGTTGAAAAAAAAGTATAGAAGTGTGACTCATACTTTCAGGCTCAGGGTTTTAAGACTGCCTCCCACAGAATCATTCTTCAGTGGTGAGCGGTGACGACAAGTAGAAATTATCTGAGGTTCTGTGGATTTGCCACCTTCTTGTCCTCCATTTGTCTTTTGACGCTCTCCTTGCTTGCTCATGCTCCATGAATCTACTAGAGAGAAAAAGGAAAAAAAAAAAGTTGCATCACTCAACACTAGCATAACAGGGAAGATATAATTTCTGCTGAGAAGCATATAAAAGCACAATCAACTTTGGGACAAATGGGCATTTAGAAGCATCTGAATGCAGCTTTTCTGCTGTTGCTTTTCCACCTTTTTGGTTCATTCTCAGTGGCAATGAGTTTCTAGAGAAGCTTCCATTAACTTGAGTGAAACAGGGAAGAACAGACCTCAAACTGAACCCAGCACACTCTCATGCTTGCAGAAACACATACTACCCCCACAACTCATAAGGAGTAAAAACAATCCAGAGGGAACAAGAGTGTGGCCAATGAATAATGTAAAAGATAGCATTGCATCTATTCTGCTCCCGTAACCTCTTTCTTGTCCCCTTTTTCTAGAACTATGTCTCTCAGAAGAATACCTTGCAGTAATCATTTAGCTTTTTTTGTTGAACTGCATCACTAGCATGTGGTGTCATGCTTTTGCATGCTATACTTACTGCAACAAAGAAAGTCTCCTTAAAAATTAGAAAAAAAACTAACACGTCCCACAGAAAGCTGAGACATTTTAATAATTAAAAAGTATTGTGTGCTGCAGATGTTTTTTCATGAGACAGCAAATATGAAAGGGCAGGTCCTTTCTGCTGCAACCTTCGCCATCAATACCGGAAGGTTTTGTAAATTAGTATATAGTCCATTATATAATCTTGGCTCAGATCAAATGATCTTTGTTAATTTGCACCTCTACAACTATATCTTGATATGCTTTCCTTGTTCTATGCCTATTGCATAAATAAAGTATGTTGTTTTATTTTTATGAAGTAAAAATTGAGAGTCAACAACTAAATTAGAAGATAAAAAAAAAATCTAAAATTTAAAAACAAATCAAAAACAGAAAAATTATTGGACCTGGATAAAACATTTACTTGTGTCAGGAAACATAACATTTTAAGAGTATATTTGAAGTAAAAACATAATCCCTTAAAACTCATTGATACTGTCACTGGGCCTAGTGAAGATCCAAAGCATTCTGCCAAAACAAGACTCCGGTAGTAAAAGGGAAAATGTGTAATTTTATGGTAATTCAAAGCCTAAACCTCAATTTACTTGAGAATTTGTAGTCATATTTTAAAAGTTATGTTTACTGGTGAAAACCATCTAACATGAAAGAGTTGGAGCAGTTTTGCCTGGAAGAATAGGCAAAAACAGTAACAATTTACTCAAAGGCATGTGCATAAGACTGACATGACACAGTCATAAACACAACATAACATCTGTCATGAACATGAAGGCGTCTTCATGAATGTTTACGACTGTTGTCATGAAGTGTTATTCAGCAAATAGCTACATTAATACTCTCTAAGGAGAGTATTAATGGAACTTTGCATTAAGTCTCATTATTTACCGAATAACACTTCATGACAAGTCGTAAACATTCAAGAAGACTCCATCATGTTCATGACAGATATGTCAGACAAATCTACACCCTTTCAAATAAAATGTTACAGTGAAAGCTCATAAAAACTTTCCAAAAGCGACTTGCAGAACCATCTCGAAGCAAAAAATGTCTCATCAAAGTGTTGAATTTAGGGGGGTGAACAGTAACGCAAACAGACGTTCTCTGGTATTTTGTCCTACTTGTTTAATTTCTTTAATTTCATTATAAATATTATTTTTATAATTGTATTTGTTGTCCCCTAATACGTAACATTGTCCTTTTTTGTATTTCTGAATAGTTAGCTGTAAGCCTGGCTCCACGGTTGGATCACATTTGTTTCACAATCAATGCCACAAAGAAACATTTCCAAGACTATTTTGTTGAACCGTATTTTTACCAATTCTTTCAATTCTTATGTAAAACACATTTTTCACATCTCGTTTAAGGACGTCAAGCATTCAGCTTTGAGCTTACTCAGCTTTTTCTATTTTTCCCGGGGAATGTTTAACAAAACATGTAAGCCTCTAGCGTTTCCTTGTGCTTTCAGTGCAAATGTCTGTGAGTCCATTCTGAAACAGTACAATATCATTTCAATGCAGCAGTCATTTCTAATCTTCACGTGTTATACTTCAGTCTGGAAAGTCAAGACGGATAAAGGAATGTGTTTGCACTTTATTTAACTCTGTTTGAGCTCAGCATGTTTCTTTGCCTACTGGGATTTATTTTGAACAATGTAAAATCGCAGTGGAAACCGTGTGGAAGGCTTGTGTGGGTCTATTAACAATGCATGAGAAAAGTAAAAGGTGAGAGGCAGAAAGAAAAAAATAAATAAATAAATAAATAAAGAGATTATCCATACTCTATGACCAATTTGGCACAGAAATAGGATGTTCAAGTGACATGTGCTTACAGATCGATCACTTTGAAATTTCAGCTGAAGGTGGTGAAATTCATACCTGGGCTATAAGTGAACGTGTGCTGCATGTGCCTCAAGTTGCTCAGAGCAGAGAAGACTGCCTTATTTGCATTCCCCTTCTGCTTTGCAGCCTTTGTGTTTGAGGCAGATGGCCCTCTGAATGACAATCCCAAAGAAGTGCTGCTGCTCTGCTTTTCTGAGTCATCATCCTCACTGTTAGCGCCACAAGCAGGTGCCTTTTGATTGGTCCTGGGTCCACGGCGCTTTGATAGAGGGCTCCCCCTGTGATCCAGTCTCTGCTCATGGCCATTGCACCTGTTGAAGTTACCTCTTCTGTACACCTCCTTTGTTTTGGCTGTTTTCTTATCTACGGTGGATCCAAAGAGAGATTGCACACCGAGTTGACAAGTCAGGGCAGACCTGTGCAGAGGTGCTTGAACTCCTCTTGTTCCTGCTGCAAGTTCTGCGAACGAAATGCAAAGTGACTTGTCCAAAAACACGGCAGAGCTACAGGACCTCAGAGGCATCTCACGATGGATGCACACCCTGTAGGAAAGCTCTGAGGAAAATGGTTTCATTCCTGAGGAATCTGTCACTCCCTGTTTTTGGTCCTTCTCTGAGCACTTTGTTTTGCATCCAACAAACTGTACTTTCATCACACCTGGATCTCTTACTGGCAAACCGTTAGCTGGTGAGTGGACTTGTCCTGGATTATTTGACCTAAAGAAAGGAGGATCCTTGGTTAGGATGAGGCTCTTCAGATAGTTCTAGCGCCACTGAATAATGTCAGAGGCTGGCTAAAAACTCCCCCGAAGGATCACCTCACAGTAACAGCTCTCCTCTGTCGCTTACCCCCACCTCACTCCAGATGACTGGACATTCTTGTGCAGCGAAGCATTGATGTCCTTATTAAGCACTCTAAAAAAGAGAGAAAAAATGTTCTAATGATATCTTTGCAAAATGAAAGATTATGCAACTAAAAACAGTAGACATGTTCAACACGCAAAGCTAGTAGGTGTTATGTGTTAACAGGGCCCTATTATATACTCTTTTGCATAACATATTTCTGCTTCAATTTGTGTTTCCATGACAAAGGAGAGCATGTGTAGGAGAAAATTGTCCTTATAAAACAAAATAATGGAAAAATAAAAAAATAAAAAAATCCAGATTTTCTGATGAAGTCTAAAGTTTCTGTCATATTTCAATGTCTTACTTTAGTTGTCAGGAAAGCCCACAGCTAAAACTGAACCTGACCCAATCGACTTAAACTGGGACTTTATAATATCTGAACATGCTTTTCTTGAAACAAGTATTACCCAACTTTTGCCTCTAACTATTGTTTCTCCCGATGAGAACTGACCAGTTTTCCTTATCTTGGTTGAGAGACGTTTACCCAACGTCTGAAGGTGTGACCATCGTATTTTACCATAAGAATTGTGTGGACAGTAAAGCATTAAATTATTTTCAGGGAAAGTCATTTGCTCCTTGAAGAACTGAATAATGTATCTCAGCATGAAACTAAACATCCATGGGGTTTTGGGAGAAACAATATTAAATAACTTTCTGGGAAATTATATCTTACCCTATTTGATATAGGATAAGAACATTGTTAAAAGAAATAAATTAGCTTTGAAAGCATCACCAGTGAAAATCAACAAACAGCCACAAAGAGTCACACCTTCCAGTTATCACCAAACACAAACCTTCCTTACATTAAAAAAAATCAAGTTGACGCACCTGAAAAAGTGCTAAATTTGTTATCAACACTCCTCCTGTGATGAAATATCTACAGCTTTATTTCTGCCAACACTTCAATATTTGATTATTTACTCCAGCTCATCATTCCATATTTATTCAGAACTCATAGCTCATTCCCACTCATCATGATCCAAAAATAAAAATAAAAGCTCCCTCATTCTGGCTTTCTGCTACTCGGCTCATGGCAGCTTATCAGGCCTCATTGCAGACAAATTTTGGGTAATTCATTAAAATGAAGCTCAGTGATCAACCAGCAAACTGTTCATGATATACCCCATCTTTTGTCCAATAATATTGAAGATAAGCACAAAGCACCATGAGACCTGGCAAGGACAAGCACATGTAGAAAAGGGTGGATGGATGGCCAGATGAACATAAAACAAAAGCTTGATTTTTTTTCAAACTTTTGTATCAGATGGCCAAAAATGCTGCTCATTTTTTTGACCGGACTCAATGATATTTGCTGTGTCCTTTTTAATCCTGGTGGTGATCAACAAAATCCTCAAGTGAACTTGTAAGACTACTACTGTCTTGTATCAGTCAGTAAATTTAGTTTTTAATAAAGCAAACTTGTTAAATTTATAGAGAATAAATAGGGCTTGGAATTTAGTCAATGTAAATTTGAGTTGTGCTTTTGGCCAGCTATCATATTTCCAAGAACACTGCAATGCAAGAACTATGGCAGAAGGAGAGTAATTGTACTTAGCCTGCTTGTTCTATTATGAATCAACTACATTGGAATGGAAGCTCAGACAACTCTGTAATAGAAATTTATGGATTCACAGTTTCAGTTAAACTAATTTCCTTCTTGGATGGGATTTTTTTCCCCTCAGCCAGCAAATTGAGTGATAGCAAATATATCACTTTGTTTCCTAAAACGTAAATATCAAAAACAAATAGCCACAGATACAAGCTACTTTTCTTTATTAAAAATCACATCTTAAGTTTCAGCATAACTTTCAACATGAGTGCATGTCAAATTTTTGTAAAACCTGCCAAACCACTTTCCACCAGAAATGACTTTTAAGTAAGTTGAAATTCTTTGACCCTGACATTTGCTACTTTGAAAGTCCAGCTGTAGCAATTTTCAAATGTTTGCAATTTATTTTAACTACTTAAATATTCAACAGTTAGAGTCTACAAACTCTTCTAAACAGCTGTCTTTCCATACATTCATCCACCCATCAGTTCATTGTGAAATAACAGAAGATTTAGTAAAATGTTTTGAATGTTTTTTTTTTCTTGGACAGTATTACATGCTTACATGTAATGCTTAAATGCAAGCATTACATGTAAGCATGTAATACTTTCAATTTTTATGTCACTTACATTATGACATTAAATTGAGACAGAACTCTTGTTTACAGCATCATTTTCAAATTTAATTCTTAAAAGGAAAAACAAAACAAAAAACAATGCCTATATTGTTATATAAAACATTGTAAACTCATTATCAACCACCTAATGTTGGATTATGGTAGAGAAAAACATGCTACACAAAGTAAGCAGCGCTTGTTATGAAGTTTAGAAGTTACATAATGGTATCTGTATTAAAGCAATTTGTTCAGTTCAGGCAGACATGCTGTAATGATCCTGACCATGGGTTGCTGGAATGTGGTCACACGGACTATAATCTGCTGGAAATGACAGCAGGAAAACACACAAGTCGGCTCAAGGGTCTTTAGTGGTGTCATTATCTGAAACACCTGTTTCCTACTCCGGCTACAAGGAGCTGTTATGAAGACTGCATACAGCTGCAGGAAGATGCAACGGGTTGAAGAAAACCTAAACATTTACTGTGGCTCATACAACTCAAACCGTTTCTCATTTCACAGTCACAAACCTTAATGCATTTTATTGGAATTTATGCATCGATCAACACCAAATAGCACAGAATTGTGGAAGGAAGTGGTGGGAAACTAATGCAATGTTTGCATTTTTTCCACAAATAGAACTCTGAAAAGTGTGGCATGCATTTATATTCAGTCTGCTTTACTCTGATACCCCAAGAGTCCAACAAAACAAACTGTCTGATTTTTATCTTAGTATAAAAGTCGTCTGACATTTGTGAGAAAGCAGTTGAAGTTTAGGAAGACCACAAAACACAGCAGAAAGGTTAGGATGAATTTGTGTTGAAGGGTAAACCATGGTTAGATTCTAAATCAAAATCCCGAACTTTGAACATCTACTGGAACATCTACTGGAGGTGTGTTCAGTGAAGCATGTAAGAATGGAAAGAACATGCCAGAAAAAAAAAAATCTGTCAGTAGATATAGAAACATTTGAACACCGTTTTTCATTCACAAGGATACAGAATTGTCTGTTGATTAGTAAGATAAAATTATTGCAGCTGCAGCATGACAAAAGGGATATGTATGATTTTGCAAGACTTTGTAAATGATGCAATTCAAAAGTAAGCAATGAACTTAAACTCAAGCTTCAGCTAAATTAAACTGAATGTAAACTAGATCTATTAATGTTATCGGTGCCATCATACAAAACAACTTGACTGAACTAAACAGAAAATGCATGCAAACAGAGGCTTATTGCAAATTATGTCAATGCGTCAAAAATAATGCACAAAAAAGAGAAGCTTCAAGAATACAAAGATAAACAAAATTCACCAAAAAAAGAAGAAGAAAACAAAGAAAAATGGCAACCAAAGCCTAGCAGCCAAACATTCTAACTATTATGCTAAATAGAACTAGATTATACCACATAAATAACTCTTAGGGTTGCTAAAGTAAGGCTGCACAATAAAAGTCATTTTCAAAGATGACCTTTTTGTATATGATTGCTCTGTACTTCCAAAAACAGACACTAAACATACAACTGAAATCCTTTCTTTGCAGCCTCTCACCTGAAGCAGCAGCAGTTTCTCTGCACAGAAGGAGTTGCGTCCGCAGAGGCCACAGTTTGAGCTGTCCTGCTCTCACCTCTGAGCACATGTCACCAGGGAAGGAGATGTCCTCACTGATCATTTGTCAAGTTTCAGTCGGAGCTCCTCTCAACCCTCAGAGGTTCAGTGAGGAAAGTAAAATCCATCAAACGAGTCAATATGTTTACACAAATTACCTCAGAGTTTAAGTCACTCACAGAGGACTTCAAAAGGAAGCTGCAAGAGGAATGAAAATAAAATCCCAGATGTGTAACAGGGATGGCTGTGTTTGACAGACCTCACTAACTTTTGATATGTCCAGGTTCATTATTTTCTTACTCACACTTCTGGTTTAGTTGAGATGGGGTTAAAAAAAATAAATAAAAAAAATAACAGCCTTCAGGGATTTTGTTCTAGCAGTCCCAGTAGCTCCATATGCCTCTTTCATAAGAGTAGAGTGCTCGGCTAAATGCAGGCTGGCTGTCCTTCATCCGTCCCCAGAGCCTGAGCTCAGGTAGCAGAACAGGTGACTGGCTCTCAGGTTTCAGGACTTACATAATAAGTCCCCATTGCACCAGATATTAATGGAGCCAGAGGCCTTTAACAGCTCCTCTGCTTGTCTCTCTGACACTGGTATGAAAAAAAAAAAAATACAAAAAAAATCTATATTTAAAGATGGATAAAGTACACCTATTTTTTGTATTCTTTCGAGCGTTTCTTGGAAAAAAAAAGTCTTCCAAAAAGTTTCCTAAACTTCTGAACACCAACGCATTTCCTCCGCTTATTGAATAGACTACTATGAGGACGAAAGTACAGGGTACAAACTGTAGAAACAAACCTATAAAAATAGACAAACCTATTCTGTACGAGAGGAAAAGTGCTGAATGTTCAACTTATTGCTTCTCCCTCCCTGAATAAAACCCAGCCGAAGTAGGTTGGATTTCAAATTACAATAAAGATCACAGTGTTTATACTTTCTCAGTGATGGATTACTCGATTATTCAAGGAAAAGAGTAATAAAATTGAAGAATATTTCACTCTTGTCACTAACAACACTGAAATCAATGAACACACGCAGAACTGTGACGCCTCTGAGAATTTAAAGTCATGAAGAATGAATGTAAAAATGCTGGGTTCACAGTGAATGTACTTTTTTTTAATTTTTTTATTTAGTGGACCTTTATATTAAAAACCAGATTTTTGTATCATTTACTGGCTGACGTGCAAAAGACAGTTGTGTGACAAATCTCAACAACAAAATTGTCCGTGGTGCTTGTAGAACTTTAACATCAATGTCAAATGAGGAGTATAGTCTGTAGTTTTGTCAAAAAAAAAAAGCTAAATACAACTTTACCAGAAAAACTAAGCCAAAGTTAACAGAATCTTGCCTTTTGTGTTGGGTTTCTGAAAAAAAGGGAAACAGCTGGGTTTTGATGCATCTGATTTCACAATTGTGTTTCTGATTTTATAATTACACTTGATGGATCCAAAAAATGCAAATTGGGGTAAAGATGCATGAACACAGCCCGGAATTAGAAAGATGACGGAAGCAACTGTTGGAATGAAGTATTCAAGACTCACAATTTAGTTCCTTTATGAGAGAAAGTCTGCAAAACTCTTTCATAGGCTTCATTAATATCAGCTTTTGAAGAAAATCATATACAAAAGAATGGGCTAATAGTAGTCATCTTCACCTTATCCTATAAGGAGTAATTTAAACTCAATCAGTGAGTAAAGACAAAAGACCCACAAAAGGGAAGCATTCTTTTCCCTCTAGTGGATTTTCTAAGAGTTTTGATGTGTTCTAGCTTTAAAATAAAGTACTGATTTCAATGAATTACAGAGTTGAACAGCTCATAGAGTATGAACTATATAATTTTTGTATCAGACTTCACTTACCCTGATGCAAAACTCCAGGAAAAAGCCACAGGAGAAGACCTATCCAATGTCCAATACACTTCACTCTATTCTTCATTGTCAATAAAGACATGAATCACTGTTAGATTTCCAGATATCTCAGATTTCAAATGTAGGGATGAAAAAATATTCTCCCCCTTCTCATTCTGTTCAACTCATAACAGTAAGAAAGCTGTTAGAAAATTATTTATTTTTATTGATATGCACTTCTACCTTATTAGATCAAGTAGGCATTTTCAATGTCAACATTTTTATTTCCATATATTTAAGTTGTGTGGACAGTTTTTAGAGAGAAGATACTTCTCAGCTTACTTTCACTTGGTGAAAAATTTCTTAAAGTTTACATCTCTTTAAGGTGAAAAACACAACACTGAAGTTAACATCTGACTCTTGGCTTTCAGAATCATAAATCATAAAAGTAGAACCCTAAACAACCTATTTAGACAGATTGTCAGCAAAAAAAAAGTTTGTAAAGTGAAAAATGCAGTTTTGCCCTGTTACATTTGAAGAGAAATTTGGTGGGTGAATAGCTGAAGGCCAAAGGATTTCCTTGGAAAATTGTAACTGCCCTGCCTAAGGTGCCTTAATGTAAAATATATCTTGATTTTCTTGGTTATTTTCTGTTTATTTTCTGCTTCTTGACTCGTCATCTGACACAGAGCATAACACCACCCTCCAAAAACATGTATGTTAAAGCAGGGATCTTAGTCGATCAAACAGCCTGTGAATGCAGGCTGTCACTGAAGCAGCTAACCGTGACAATGGTAGCTGCTTCGACTTATTATCCACATTCATAGCAAAGAGTGAGGAAAGATCTTTTAAATCTGGAAAACACATTAAAAAAAGGTTTAGCTCAAGGCAGAAGACAACATGTAAAACAAATCTTTTGTGGTTTTATCAGAATTATGCTAAGTACTAGCAGGGGCTGCTCATCAAACACTGATAATCTGTCACTCCAATGCAAGGTAATTTTGCTATTTCAATAGTTTTGGGTGTGAGTTAACATAATAACAAACAAACACAATTAGCTTATTATTGTCCATTTATAGAGAAGGGTTATGAAAACATTTATAATCTAAAGTACAGAACAATACAGGAAAAAAAAAAATTAAAAAAAAATATATAGAGAACTTAAAGGGTGTGATAATTAAGGACAAACAAGTCCAACGAATCATAGTGACTTATTTTTATAAAAGTTTTGGCTATAATCCCTTTTTAATTGGAGTACTTTAATCTATGCAAACACATGAAACAGACACAGTAAAAGAAAAGTGGAGGACTGGTTTTCCTGAATTTTATTGAATATCTTGCTCTGTTTTGTATTTTGATCTTTAAGACAGAGTCCATCTGTTTACTCTTTAAATTAAAAGTATCTCAACATCCCTATGTAAAATAAATTATACAAGATATTTCTCTTGCTTAGAGAGAAATATACTGAACATTTTTCTTTTGATACTCCAGTTTAAAAAATAAAAATAAAAGTTGCAGTGGGGATTGTGGTGTAAATGTCATTAATTGCCTCTCTACCTACACAAAGAGAACCTGCACAAGAGCACAGGGAAGTTGTCATAATGCCACACTGACCTGACAACTGTGGCAAGGACAGTCTTATTTGAACATTTCTGGCTGAGAAGCAAACACGCAGGACAGTAGCCAGTTCTTTTTTTACTATTCCCTAAAAGAAGAAGTAATTGAAGCATAAGTGGTACCAGGTCTTTGCTCCAGAAGAAAGCACAATCAGTATGTGCCGTATCCGCTAGTTGTGTTTTTTTCCTTCCAGCAGGGTGTGATGGGCGAGATGACTGGATCTAGCTGTCGCTTATTAGTGGCTGTCAGGGAAAGGAATTTAGAGCAGGTTCCCTGCCATAGATGTCAGATGGTTACTGCAGTTTGTGGTAACTAGCATTAGTTCTTCTGGGATCTTGTGTCTTACCTTGTTGTTTGTCTTCTTTGCATCTGGATACCTCGCTGAGTTCCTCTGTTTTCTCCTTGGTTCCCCAGATTGCACCCAGTGTCCGCTCTCACTCCATGATTCCTCTCCAGAAGCCTGGCTCTAAAACCTCTCCAAACAACACTCCAGGCATGGTTTTGATGAAGGAGTAACATAATATGACATAAAGTAAAAAAAAAAAAAAGAAGTTGATTTTACATAATTTCCCCACACTCACTGCATTCCACTTACATACAGCTGTGGTTTATTTATTTATTTATTTTACCAATTTTATCCTACTTCATTCTTTTCTTTACAATCAAGTCCGTAACTAGTGGAAGAGTAATTGCTTTAACTTTGCAGATTAAACATCGCAGTCCTCCAGTTCTCTGCTGGGAAGTCAAGCATCTGTTGTTAACACAGATAAGAAGCGTGGCACGGTGAACGCCTGGCAGGATTGGCTGTCATGCCGGCTCAAGTCACCAGGCATATGCAAGTATATGTGTTTGACTCGGCTTGACGGGATCTGCTTGTTACACTCTTCACCTGTGACAGTTATGCCTGCAGCACTGAAGACACACACAAACACCTGCACATATATCACACACACACATCCTCACAGAGCAGCTCCCTAATCCATTCTCAGCTTCTTACTAAGATATAGATCTTAGTAAGATTTTTTAAATGCATTTTGCAGCACATTTTGGAACTAGGTTGGCACTTTAAAAAATGGTAATCTGCTACTGAATTAAGACCATTTCAGGTCTGCATTCCTTGTGTGTTTAATGTCATGATTTTGTGTAATTCACCTCTGCTGTGACTGTCTTTGACTTACCATAGTCTGGCCCCAGACCTCTTAGATCTCCCATGCCATTGCTTTTAGCCGTTCCCCATTACAGGATTCTTAGCAAGAAATATTTGCGTCTGCAGGTTTGAATGTTTAAAATCCCCATCCACATTTGCAAAAGTAATCTTGCAGTTAACAGAAACGTACTCCTCTTTTTGTTTCAATTGTGCTCTTCAAATTCATGTTTCCTCTGCTCATGGGTGAGAACATTTTAATATCTGTACAGATGTATGTAGGGTAATAAATACAAGCTGTTCAATCTTTACTATTTTATGTAGAAAACTTGATCAGTAAATGTTAATTTTTGGATGGAGTCTGTGTTCCCTGTGTAATTTATTTCAGCCTTATGTTAATATTCTGTAATAAGGTTGTAAATTAGTTTTTAAGAATAGCTACCGTTGGTTTTCTAAAGTTGAGTCCTTTTGAGACAATCAAATATGCCTACAAACTGTATAAAAAAGAAAATTGGAATCCATTTGGAAGCTACAGTTCACATTTTCTGTCTTGAAGGAGGTCCACAAAGGTTTTGTAGTTTACTCATTTTATTGCCAGACCATAAAAAAAAGTTTTAGAAGCCTGTATGTGAAAATGTGTTATAGATGTGTCTGGATTGGATCTATTTAGGCAAAGATGTGACGAGATAATGTGGCAGAGAACTGTAGGAAATTGTACATTTTTTACTTGCTTGGCAATCATCTGCCGTAGCACAAATGCTGTACTGTAATCACTTTTGAAGCAATATGATGCTATG